TTAGACAATGAAAAAAAACCCCATCCATCTAGTGTCCGTTAATTAGGGGAAGAGAAGTGAACAGAATTTCATGTTGATTAAATAATGCTTCATTGATACAAAAAGCATGATGATTAATATCCTGTGTATCTTTCTGAACTAAAAAAGTGTAAATGTGGCGATTGTGGCTGGAAGTGATGTCTCCTCGTGTTTCAAGTGAGCGGGATGTAATTTGCAGGCGTCTTACACAAAGAAAGGGATCATGAGAGAAGAGCTTGGCTCGCATTGCTCCTTCAACAAATACCTAGGGTGTGAATGGATTCCTTCTTAACTATATTCGCATTTTCTTTAACAGAACAGTACTCTCCAGAACGATCGTCTACCTATTTTTCTTGTTTGAGCTATAAGTGGTAACAGGTTAAGGGAAATGCAACATGATTCATTTCAAACAGCATTAAATCCTACTGGCCAGTGTAAATGTACCAATACATTCTGCAGTATTTGAAATACTGGTAAAATTTCAGTGCAACACGCTCAGAAGCACAGGTCAAATGAAATGTTAACTTCTTCTAGCCACTGTTCTCCCAGATTTATGGGACGGCCTAGCTTAAACTGTGATGAGAGGACAGGTCTGACCTTCACCTTTGTTCTAGAAACCAGTTATCTGGCTTCAGCGATATTGCTAATTTGCTTAAGAATAAGAAGGTAGTTAATTGCTGTAAAATATTAAAGCATGTGCCATAGCGAGCTGTGGTTCAGTGGAGTGAGGCAAGACTGGGAACCAGGAATTCCTCAGCTTGGTTGTCTTTTAACCTCGCCAAACTTCCTAAACACAAACTAAGGGCAGCGCTGCCTGTGTCGCAGGCATGCAAACCAGCGAGCCAGGACCCCCATGCGCTGCTGGGTCCGAGGCAAGACTGGGAACCAGGAATTCCTCAGCTTGGTTGTCTTTTAACCTCGCCAAACTTCCTAAACACAAACTAAGGGCAGCGCTGCCTGTGTCGCAGGCATGCAAACCAGCGAGCCAGGACCCCCATGCGCTGCTGGGTCCGCCGGGGGGAGCCGCCAGCACCCGTTCTGCCTGCACCCCCGGGGCTGCCCGGAGAAAACAGGTGCTTCTTGGGGCCTGCCCTTGGCACCTGCATCCGCATTTAGGGACTGGGTACGTGGCCTCACACGCGGAGGACCTGAGCACATGCTGCTCCCAGCAAGCTTGGTGGGCGTCCAAGTCCAGAGGTTGGGCTGTTTGCAGAGCAGGAGGGTGCCCACGAGCAGACAGGCAGAGAGGGGCTCGGGCGGCGCTGCAGCTCCGACGCTCCCGGCGCTCGGCCGCAGGGTCCCTTCAGTAAGCTAGTTGCTGCCCCTCGTAGTCTGAATATTTATTTTAAATAAGTAAATAGGCTGGCAGACTCTGTTCAGTCTGCCACAGTCTGCCACTGCTGCTTTTAAGCTGCGTTCACTTGTACGCGTTCACATTTTAAAAGCTTCCTGCATTTCTGCTTTTTTTTGGGGGGGGGGGGGGGGGACCCCAGCAGCCCGGCGCGCAGCGGCAGCAACGCCCTCCCGCGACAAGGTAGGGCAGGCAGCGGGCAGGAAGGCTGTGCACAGCCCATGCCCCTGAGAGTTGCAGAGCATCCAAAACCAAGACTTGCTCCAGCCCAGGAGTTATGTTTGAATAATGAAGCAACGTGAGACAGTGTATTTGTTCAGTGCACCAGAGGGGTGTGAGGAGACGTGCCTCTGGGTCAAAACCCCGCATAGTCACGCAGCGCAGCCCCTTGAACGCCTCAGAGCCGGTCTGAACGTTTTGCGGTGCAGCTGCCTGCTTCTCTGCTAATTCCACCATTGCGCTTAAAAAAAAAAACCAAAAAACACAAACAAAAAAAGAACTTAGAAGACTGACCTCGCTTCCCGGGGGGTTAGCAGACTGCAGGGGAGGGATCCAGGCAGCCCTTACAAAATGAGATCCCGGCACATGAGACATTCCATATATAGTTCTGGAAACTGGAGTTGCCATGTTACAAGGCCGAGCGCGCTCGCAGAAGCGCGGATGCGAAACCCCCGGGGACGCCGGCTGCCCCCTCCATC